GCGCCAGCGGACAAGCGTAAAGGAATGTGGAGAGCCGGGTCAGATAGAAGAGAACAAGACAGGTCACGGAGAGAGAATGGAATGAGAATAATAGGAAACGGCATCCAAAGGAAATGGGAGCAGCTCCGAGAAAGAGAAGGACAAGAGGAAAAGGGAGGGCAAGGTGAGGGGGGCGTGGAAGCCTTCTCAAGGGATTAGCTGGGAAGTTTCCATGCTTTGGAATAAAGGTCTTGGCGAATTCTTTCACAGAAGCCAAAACTAGCAACGTTTTTCCCAGGTGAGTCATCTGGCTTTTGACCTGGTTGGGGGCAGTCTGGGAAGAGGGGAGTGACAGCAACAGGACCCTGGCCAGAACCCCAAAGGGCAGAGATGTGAAGGACAGGGGTTGGGAGGAAGGATGGCCCTGGATGATAGCACCCTGAGCGGCTGCCCTGGGGTGGGGAGGGGGGGGTGGATAAATAGCCCCAATGCAGGACAGCCGGAGCTGGGCTCCCCTCCCTGCCCGGAAGGCATCTGCTCCTCCCAGGTACAGCAGTGCCCCCCTCACACACACACCCCCCACCCCCGCCCAGGGGGCGTGCCCTCCCAGCTCGTACAAGTGACAGCCTCGGCTCCTCTGGAGCTCACTTAGCCCAACCTTCCCTGAGTTAATTACAGGCGGGCTAGTTATACACGGGTGGACCCACTTCTGAATCAGGCCTGACCTCGTTTGTCTTTTCTCAGCACAGCAAGGGATGTGATACTCTTCTGACCTCTAATAAAATAATCCTCATTTTCCTCCCTCAGCTGCCGAGACATGGCAGGTAGAGACGGTGCTGGACGACGAGCTCTCGTCCTCACTCGTCCACTGAGCAGATGCATGCCTGTGGGCACTCGATTACCCTCTCCAGTGCCCAGGACTTGCACACAGTGGGAACCCAATGGGTGCGTGCTGTCCCGGTCTGCTAACTGCACCTTTCTTTCTTTTCTGAGCCACGTCTGGGCTTCCTGCTCAAGCCGTCCCCGCTTGGCCTCCCAAGTTCGTGGCTGCAGCCCCTCCCTCTCCCCCCTCTCCAGGAAATCTAAGGGGAGGATGAGAACAGCAAAGCCCGAAGCTTTCTAGAGCTGGAATTACTACCAGGCTCTGCAGCAGAAAAGCATCTCAGAGTCTCATGGTCAGCTGGGGCCCTGGAGGCAGCCAATCCAACCTGAAAGAGAATCTAGCCGCGGTCTGAAGACCACAGATTCGAGGCTGAAAGTGGCCTTTGAGGCCATCACAGCCTCACGGCCAACTGGCCGCCTTAACACGGAGGCCCAGCAGGTTGTGCTGGGATTACTAGCTGCCTCCCCCAAAACTCCACCTCCTGCTTCCGGGGCAGAGCAGAATGACAAGAGTGCTGGAGGCCCCATGTTACAATGTAAAAGGCCCAGGGTGCCCACTAGGTGGCCTGTTTCCTCGTGAGTTAAATGAGGTTAGACCCTACGCCCCCTTCCAGCTCTGAAACTGATCTGGTCCCTCTGCCCCATGACAGCCATTCAAACATACTCGAGGACGGGTGCCTCCCCGTCTCTGCCCACCCCGACCCCAGTTTTCTTACAGCCCGAGTGCCTTCAACAGGAAGACCCTCTTCTGGACCCTGCCACTGGGATCAGAGACCAAGCCTGGGCATTTTCACCTTCTCATCTCCAATATCTGCTCCACTTCCTGGCCACTTCCGGATCAGCCCCAACCACAGGCCCCATCCCTCCCTACTCGCTGGCCCCAGCACCTGTGCCCCTCTCCCTCTGCCCCCGCTCTCCAGTTCTGAGACTGAGACCAAAGCGACCCCGTCATAGCTCAGGGGCAGGGCGGTTTGGCAATCTCACACACTGTTCCAGTAACTTTCAGACCCAAAGTGCCCCTCCCCGGCCACCCCTTCCCTATGTGTTGGCTCTGCTAGTAGACTATATCGTCTTGAGGGTAGGGGTTGTCTCTGCTTTTGTAATTCTATCTCCAGAGCTTGGCACACAGTAGGGAAGGAAGAATTTATACAGCACCTAAGATAGGTCAGACACTGCATTAAATACAAATATTGTCTCACTTGATCCTCACAACCACCTTTCGAGGTAGGTGCTATTAGCACCCTTATTTTACAGGGAAGGAAACTGAGGCAGACAGAGGTTAAGGGACTTGCCTGGGGTCACACAGCTAGTGTCTGAGGTGCTCTGCCCACTATGCCAATCACCGTCCCAACCATTGTCCTCTGAATGCTCTGCAGCCCACTGATGTCCCTCCTGCAACATGCCCTGAATGGAACCACCTCCAGGTGTGTCCTAACCAACGGGGACGGATGATCACCTCCACAGGTGCCTATACTGAAGAGGCGTCTGGGGGCTAGGCTCCCAGAGGAAAATGACTGGGAAATATTTGACGAAATAAGTAAGAATACAACAGAACACAGGTCCTGCGCACAGGGGGCTTGTAAGCCCACATGAGACCCTCTCCCAGGGCTCCTTACGGACAGAGGGTTGAGACTTGGACATCCCTGCTGTCCAGGATGCCTCTCAACGCATCTTAAGAGCACGAGACATTTTAGGGGGCTGCATCACATCCAAGGGAGCAGTTGGGTGGTGCAGTGGGTAGAGTGCCAGGCCTAAAGTCAGGAGGACCCAAGTTCAAATCCTGCCTCAAACCCTAACTGTATGACCCTGGACAAGTCACTTACCCTGTTTGCCTCAGTTTCCTCATCTGTAAAATAAACGAGAAGGAAAGGGCAAACCGTTTCACTATCTCTGCCAAGAAAACCCTAAAAAGGGGTCACAAAGACCCCTGACTAAACAACTGACATGACTAAACAACAATTTCATCCAGCTCAAAATACACTGAAGTCCCCAAGGTTTTTTCAGAAACATCACTGTAAAACCACACCTCCCTTGTGTTATGTTATATTTGAGAAATTGATTTTCTGAACCCAAGTTACACTGTTCTATCCCATTAAGATTCAGCCTGGCACCCAGCTTGCTGAGGTGACGTGGGGCTCTCCCCCCTCAGCTCAAGCATCATCGGCACCTTCACCCAAATCATGACAAAACGACTTAGGGTAGCACGAAGCCCAGGGTAGCCATGTCGGAGGCACCTCGCTCCAAGCTGCTGAATTCCTAAGGCTCTGCTCAAAATCCAGCCGCCATCTGCCCCACCCCCTCCACTGTCCCCAGCCCTCGGCACCTGTCACTGGCACATGTCTCCAGGTGACATCCACGAGACTGGAGCCAAGTGGTCCGGCCCACCTTTCCAACGGCTGAAGAGGATGCCAGGTAAGAGGTGTGGTCATAAATGCCTTCCTTTCTACCCAGGTAAGACACTACCTTTAGGTTCAAGTGTGACATGCCCTCCTCCAATCAAGATTGTGCCGTTCTGCCCTGCCCCATTTGCTTGTGCTATGCTCTACCCTGGCAGCATCACTGCCCCGGCCCTCTGCCACCGCAGAGTGGAGAAGCCTCTGGTCAGGATCAGAACGCCCCTCCCCCCCCCAGAACAACCAGGGGGGCCAGAAAAGGGCCTCCTCCTCCTCCTCCTCCTCCAGGGGAACAAAAGAGGTGCTTCAGACCCAGACACACTGCTCACTCACTGAGAAGAGCACTAGTGATGCCCTCCTGCCCCTACACTGCCTGAAGAAAGAGGTGCCTTCCCCTTCCCTTGGACTAGATGCTAATTCATCCCCTCCTTGTCCCCGGACAGGCTCGAGGCTCTTACCGGGATTTAGAGCAGTAAGGATATACCTGTAAAGATGCCCCTCCCCACGGGTGCAGACTGACCCCCTCGCTGCGGCCTGCAGGCTCAGTGCTGGTTGGCAGCAGCACCCTGAGGCAGTGCCTTCCTTGCCCACTTCACACACGCAGTGGATGACTTAGGATTTCCTAACTCTGGCGCCAGCCTTCCACCCATTCTGCCACACTGACTCTCAAACTACGATCCAGAAGAATTAAGTTCAGCCACCTCATTCCAGCAAATTTCCCTAGCCTTCCGACAGCCTGGGGTTAAAGGCCACTTAAACTCAGTATTACCAAGCATTCCACTTACTCTCATTGAGTATCTCTCAAGAAGCACCTTTTGGGGGTAGGTAACAAGGAGAGTCACGCTTCCCTCGGTTCTAGAAAACTCCCAAGATGGCTAAGTTGGGTCCCGGCCAAATATCCAACTATGCGACTTCTAGCCTCTGACACAATTTTAGTCAATGTTTCTTTAAAAACAAAGCAGAATGCAAAAACCAGCCCTGTCTACATCACATCACCTTGCTCCCCGACATCCACCACCCGGTCTTCTACCCTCCGCACCTACCCCTAGAACACCGAGCCAGGCATCGAGGAGCCCGAGGACTCGTCTCCCCCCAGAGCCAGCGGCCATGACGAGTCTGTCGGCAGTGGCACCGTCAGCGGCAGCCACGAAGAGATCTCTGCGCAGAATACGGACAGAGCCTGGGGCTCTGCTTTAGCACAGCTCAGAGTCTGCTGGCCCTTCAGCCTCCTGTAGCAAGGCCCAGGCTGCTCACGACGCCCGTTCTTTGTCTGGAACCAAAGATACTTTTACGATGAAGCGGTCTGACGGAATGTCTAAGCAAAGGCCTCGGAGGCCTCAGACCCCAACACGGGAGGACCAGCCTCCACATCAGGGACACCTTGAGACTGCCCATAAACTAAAAGGCCTACATTCAGCATTTCCTCAATCTGGGAATGTTACTTTTCATGCCTGCCAATATTCAAAGGAAAGAGCCAGGCCAGTTAATCAGCAAGTGGGTCACGGAGTCAAGCCTGCAGCCAAACAACGCACAAACCAGCTTTCCAGCATCTAAGGAAGACGTCCTTTCTCTGCTTTGCCTCCCCTCTCACACTCAACAAGGGCAGCTGAGCGGCTAGAAATGATTCAAAATTAACTGTCTCCCACTTCCCCTCCAGGGACAGATAAAAGACCCAGGAGCTCACCCCCAGATAAGGACTCTCGCAAAACAGACACACCCTAAATTGAAAAACATTTATTTCACTGGAAAAAAAAAAAGTGACCAACTCTACATGTCTACCCATCGCAAGCCACCAGGGGCAAAACGGAAAAGAGCCAGAGTCCCCCCCCTGCAACTGTGGTGATCCCCCAACTCCACACCCAGTGAAAGCAGATGAGTGGGGAGACAGCATAAGCCCTGCCCCACAGTTTCTGGCCATAGCCAAGGCTACCGGGAGAACAGAACAGGCGTGGGAAGGCAGTGAAGAACAAGGGGGCGGCAGGGTAGGCAGAGGACAGTCTCAACTCAGCAAGGTTAAATTAAGGTCCGTGGTTCCTGAGGGACCCAACGCACAAAGCCGTGAAACATCCCGAAGATGGGGGACCACGAAGGGTGAATTCTCATGCACAACCGCAGCCCGGGGCTTCAGCCCCAACACATCCCACCTGAAAGAAAGCACAATACAGGGGCTTACAGTAAAGAAAAGCTCAACGTGGCCATGAAAATCCATCTCCTCCCTTCCCTCCTGGGACGGCCTTCAAAGCCTTGCCCACTCTCAATGAACTGTCAGGTCACCTTCACCCTCCCCCAAAATGAAAAGCCTGAAAACCAGAAAGTCACAGGAAGCTCAGAAAATCCTGTCCCTTGCTCTCTGGCCCCCAGTGGAACGGGGAAGGGGAGCCACTGACAGGCAACCGCGTCTGACGCCGCCTCATCACAAGAAACCGTGTGTCCCCCAGGACAGCCACTAAGGGAGAGAGCAAGCAGCTATCAGGTCTCCAGGGAATAACAGGCTGGGAGGGCTTCTCAATTAACAGCAGCTTTAGGAATTAAAGACAAGCACCAAGACTCCTGAGTAGCCAATGTTTCCAGGGAAGAGCCTCAGCAGTCAAGGCGGTGTAGATCTGGGGAGAGGGTGCTGGTGGAGGAGTTCAGGGCCTTGGGTGTGATTCAGCTGAGACCTTGTGCGCACACACCATCTCCTTCCCCACTACGGCCTGAGAAACAGGCTGAAGATTCCCCACCCCCCCTCCCTCCCTCCCATCAGAGTGTCCAGGAAAGAGGACACCTCCAGAAAGTGTACTGAGTCACCTGCTACAAAGGGAACTAATGAGGACCTTCCCATGAGTCAGGGCTCCCAAAGTGTGCAGAGACAGGAGGGGGCCAGAGGGGCTGCAGGGCCCAAAGAGCAGAGTGGAAGAAAAAGGCAAGAGCCCTGAAAGCATCTTTGGGGGCCAGAAGCTACAATTCCTGAGTTTCTCCAATTACAGAAAATTAAAACTAAAAGGTATCCAGACTACAATTTTAAATGAATGAAGCCATATAAGACTTTGAAGAAGATGAGGGAATATCACAAGTGCGCAGAGAATAACAAGATAATGATAAAACTGAACAAAGTAAGACAAGACAGGATTCTGAACACAGGGTGTCCCAAAAGTCTGAGTGCTACTGTCAATGATTAAAGCCTAAACCTGCCCCCAAGACTTTGGGAATACCCAGTGCAGGACCCCAAGATCTCACACTGGGGGGAGGACAGTGTACTTGGGGGAAGAGGCTGAGCTTGTGAAAGGAAGGCTTCACCCTGCAGCCTAACCGGCAAACTCTGCTCACTACAACATTTTTTTTAACTGACGTGTTCCCAAACAGAAGGGACCCTTGCTACGCTCTCCCGTCTGATCTTGCCCTGTGGGAAACCTTGCCTGGAGCCCACAGGGATGCCACCCATAGGGGATCGCTCTCAGCGGGTCACCTGAAAGGGCATGATTTCAAGTCAGTCTCTAACTACAGCGATAGTGACAAAGCAGGTTCACCGAAAGATCAAGAAGAGGACGCCAGCCAACGGGCGGCCGAGCCATCAGGAGAGGCCCTTTGAGCCAGGAGGCTCAGGCGCACTGTCCCGCCACGCCGACAGCAGCAGGGCCTAGGAAATCTGCCACGAGGGCCAGGGACTTGAGACAGCACCAAGGAATAGGCAACGGCCAGCTAGACTTCATCCCCGCCCTCCTCCCACACCACCCCCATAATCCCATTCCTGGGAATGGCAACCTGGGCCCTGGGGCTGCCAGAGGTAACCAAACCCCAACAGGGGAACTGCCCCACTCTCACCTCGAGCTTTAAAAGGCCGAGTACCGCGCCCGGTCCGCAAACTGCTCCCGCTCATACCGCGCCACATCGTACAGAGAATTCCGCACAGCTGCCGAGGCCTGGGACAGGTCATTCTCATGCCCATAACCGTAGCCCTCTCCGACAGCGGGGACCGCAGGGGCACGGCGCAAGGGGCTCCGGTCCCGTCCGTAATAGGAGGAAGCGGCTGCAGTGACAGCAGCCGCGGCAGCTCCCGAGGCTGGCAACAGGTGTCTATCGTAGGGGTCGACGGAGGTGGAGGTGAGGTGACCGGCCACGGCCGGGTTCTGGACTTGAGGGAGCTGGGACAGGGTCTGCTCCGCATAGTTGTACGCGGAGGCCGCCGCCGCTGCCGCCACCGCCTCATAAGACCGGACGCGACATCGCTTGTAGTAAGCGTCGAGCGCTCCGTACGCATTGCTGTAATACACTGACTCCCCGTAGCCCATGGCGTAGGGCGCGCGGATGGCTCCGTACTGCTCATTATACTGCTCGGTCAAGTCTGCCACGCGGCCCGTCCGATCCACTGGACACTCTTTGGACCAGTGGCCCTCTTTCCCGCACCGATAGCAGCCGCTCTGGTCTCCCATCCCGGGGGCGGTCCGGAGCCGGCTGGTGGACAGCTGCACGTGCATCCGTTTGCCTTGAAGAGACAGACGCGAGAGAAGGGTTGCCGTAAGTCAATCACAGCCCTGGTCCGGCCCCAGACTCCTCCACCACAGCAAGAGCTCCTGGAAGCCATCTCCGAAGCAGGCCAAGCTCAGCATCAGAAAGACACTTAACCGTCTACGGCACCGCACAAGTAACTCACTTGAGAGGCCTGGTCTCTCTCCAGCATCGGGGTTTCTGGCTAAGAAGGCTCTCCACTAGACTGGTTAACCAGCCATTATCAAGGAAAGGAAAACCAATCTTGTCCTAAGAAAGAATCGTCAAGTCCTTGGTGAGTGATCAGCCTGTCACTGCACCCCCTCTGCAAGTCAGCCGTCAGCACCCGGCCCCCCAAAGGAGTGGCTGCCTTCACTTAACACCGGCCCAGCGTCCCCCGCACCAGCGACATCCAGCTGAGCGGCCAACGCCCCTACCCTCCGCGGCCGGGGAGGAAAGCCGGCCGTCCTGCCAGAACACACCCACACCGGAGCGGAGCCTTTTCAAAGACCGGGGCTGAGCACGAGAGGCCACACAGACAGAAGCCCCGGGTGCCAAGCCCCTCCGTGACGCTCAGCAGTCGGGAGCCGTGGCCAATCAGCGCTCCTGACGGCAGCCCCACCTCACAGAACTGTCAAGCTTCAAATGCCACTGAGAAGCGAGTGACCGTCAGAGATGCTTTTCTAGGGAAGACACGCAGGAGCCAGAAGGCTTTTTCAGTCCAGAGCCTGGGGCTGTGACAGACTATCCTTTGTGAAAGGCTCCAGCTGGAGGCTTTTGTCCATCACCTCAATGGGCTGGAAGCAGTCTGCTGGTGTCAAGGGGCAGACCACTAGATTTTAGCAACCACCAGTTTGGAGCTGTGCCAAAGGCAGAAAGAGAACTAGGCCCTTCAGGAAACCAGGATTCCCCAAAGGAAAAAAAACCATCAAGTAACAGAAAAGGGGAGTGGAGATGGAGATGGGGTGAGGGGAGATGCGACAAGAACAGGAGAACAAGTAGAGGTAAAGTACTGATCAGCAAACAATCACCTCAGGGGAGACCTGGTAACAACGATCTCTGCTTCTCTGAAACTCAGGGACCCGAGAGCCTAAATAAAGACCATGTGTGGAGAAATTATAAAAGCTTAAGAAAGAAATATTGTAACTTGGAAATGGAAAAGGAAAATGCTTCTAAAAGCCAGTGCAGACCAGGGTCTAATCATAAAGCAAGAAGAAATACGGAACTTTTTACCATCAGAGGAAGAAAGCAGGTGTTCTGGAGCAGGGAAGACCCAGAACCGGCTCCTCTGGAAGTGCAGGGCCTCCCTTAGACGCTCTCTACTACACAAAAGTCCAAGGGGATCCAAGGTCAGCAAGGCTTCCTATTCACCAGCAACCACACAAGCAGGCACGTGATCATCAAACCTCAACACTCAGCTGCTGGGAGGGCTCCTAAAGCTGGTTCCTAAGGGGACATTCAATGAGAAACTAACTCACCAAGAGACTTCAGGCTACGGTTGTGGAAATAAGGGGTCTTCTCTGACAAAATGAATACAAATCTGAGGTAAAGAGCAGATTACGGCATGTGCGGGGGGGAGAAGGGACAGAGGCAGCAACAGGCTGAAGAATTAGCTGTGTACAGGGGCTCCCTTGAGGGCCAGCCAGTCTTTGGCACCTTGGCCGGGGCTGCTGTGGGCACAAACAGCACAAAAGCCAGCCGGAGCCAGAAGAGCACACAGCGGCTCTGCCTTTCCCTTCATTGTAGCCACCCCAAAGTCAGGCTATTTCAAGGCATAAAGGAGTTGGGGCAAGTTTTTAAAAATAAAATATCCTGAACCCAGGGTTTAGCAGGGTCTCAAGTGACAAAAAAAGCTAACTTCTCATTTTAAAAGGCAAAGCTGAATCTGAAAGAGATAAAAAAGGCAATGATATAAGACTATGGCTTCCAAAACACTGAGAAACTTGGGAAATAGGAACCACCTTTAACAAACACTTGGAAAGCATTTAGCAACCACTGGAGCCTCCACTAGAACCCTTCTAGGGACAGGAGAGGAGAAACAGGGACTATGCAACTGACTGCTGAGCATGACAGGAACCAGGAGAAAGGGGGCGGGGGGGGGGGGGGGGGGGGGGGGGGGGGGG